TATTAAAATAAACAAACAACATTTTTTAACTGTTTTTTATTGACACTTGTATTTTGGGAAATAAATAATAGAAATAATGGCGCTAGTTAATCAGTGGCTGTTGAGAAAGGCGTTACGCTGTGAAAGAAATTTTTTTGACAGATAAAATCTTATGGAAACCATGACAGATGATTTATTGTTGGCGCGTTATCGTTTTCATTGATATGTCTTACAAGTGCCTCCAATATGTCCGAACACAAAAATGTCTTATTGTGTCTAGCATGTGTCTGCAACTACGAAAAAATGAAGGCACTTTTAACAGCACGAGGCTTTATACTAAAATCTTGATTAGCTACATTTCATCATCATGAAGCATTTTCGGTATTAATTCTACCCTTATACTACAAAAAGTGTAAAAAAGGTGAAGTTACACTAAATATCATTTTTCAATATGCACTCGAATTTGCTTAAACACACTCCACTAAGAGAGCTCTTTCTCAAAATATAATTTATATGACCTACTTTCCTTCTCCTTTCATGAGCCGTCAGAAATTCAAATTTGTTCTAAATTTTACTTAATAAGATTTTTTTGTTCGTGAAAGCCTGGACAAAATTGCACAATATAAGAAAAATAGATTTTTCAATTTCGACTTTGTTTCAGAGAAAACTGCAGATGTTTGGGTTACAACAATTAACAATTTTGGGCTTTCAACCCGAAATGTTCGTAGAGGATAGCCAAACATTTTTATCATAACCTGTTCACATTGTGAACTTTAGTTCTTAAAAGTTTCGTTCAAATCCGTTAGAAAAAAATGTGTAGAGAGGATCCTTAAACCAACACACCCCTCTGTTAAAAAGAGTTTTGTTCAACGAAACGACTCCCATCAGAGAAAAGTTATTTAATGAATGTTCTTCGAGTACGAAAAAACACCTAGTCAAGAGAAAATTAATTTTTGAAGAAACAATAGGCTTCTGGATAGCTGCAGTCGGAAAAAATCATGTTTTTATGTCGACAGACATTATCCGATTGCTCGGAGTTTTTTCTTTCTTTTTTTTTGCTTAGTCACATTTTTTGAAAAATGCGCACGCAGTGATGTAGAGAACTTCTAGAAACGCGTAATGGTTCTCCAGGCACTGCAGATCATGACTATTGAGCGTTCTTTTTCCAAAATCTAAGAGACTAAGACTGTTTTCTTCACGAAAAGTGAAATATGCTCTGGATCGGGCACCAAAGGATGCAAAAGTGGAAGAAATTTGTGCTTATGGCTTAGAAATTTATCATATATTCATTAACAGCTTGTTGTCAGACGCAACTGACAACAAGCACCTGACTCAGGCGCCATTTGGTCGCGGGTTATTCAGATACAATTTATCTATCGATATGTGATTGATATTACAAATGAGTCATTGCGATTTGTTTGTTTTTTTATTTAATCTTTTTTCTCCTTTTCCCATATATATTTTCCATCCGCTCATGCCATACCCAAACTATCACGAACTCTATTCTTTTTGGGAAAAGTACGCATAGATTGCAATGCATCTATACATCTGTTAAGTGCCTGAACTTAACTTAAGACCGTGCGACTAAGTTGTGCACATACCTTTAAGTAAAACTTAAGTTTGAAGTTGTGCAACACTTTAAGTTCGTCAACTTAAGTTTGTCTCAAACTAAGATAAGACATGGACTTAAGAATTTCTGAGAAACAACCCCCAGGGTCTATTTAGACTCTGTTCTCAAAAAACAAGAAAGTTAGGCTTGTTTTCCGCTAGCAGTCAAAGATAGCCGTCATGAGTTACTTTCTACGTCTTTTCATGTAGAAAGTGGCTTCTGACGGCTATCTTTGACGGCTAGTGGAAAACAACCGAAAATGAGATGAAATTTTTTCTTATGCATGGATCGAAGTATGAAATACATTCTATTTGTTGTGTCTGAAATAGGCTTAGGAGTACAAGGGTTAAATTTGCCTAATAACGGCGATCGTATGATTTTCTTTCAATATATCGGTCGACAGTTCTGTCGAGTATTTTGAACTATAATACGATAATATCTACGCTAGTTAGTATGACTTCGTTTTACTTTTGTGTAATTTTTCTCAATTCAGTATAGCCAACGCAGAAAAGAGTAAGGAAGGACTTACAAAATAAGAAGAGAATAAAGAGGAAATGTTCTCTTATGGGAGAAAGCATACATTTATCTTACGAGACCGCAGGAAAAAAAATTTTGAATTCGAATTTTCGAGAAATTTCACTGAATTATATTATCTTCATTCAGTTTTTGGTTGGTCACAAGTAATTTTGTTACAACAAAGGAAAATCGTTCTATTTGTTCTATCACTTGTTTCCAGCTTGAAACGGTTGAAACGGTGTCCAGACGCGTGTAAACAATGAAATAACAAATGCGTTCAATCGATGCTTGAAACGCGATTTTTAACCGTTTAATCGATATTCGAAACGCGTTTCTGTTATTTCGTTGTTTACACGCGTTTGGACACCGTTAGATAAAAAAATCTCATCAATTATAGACATAGTTAACATGAGTATTCAACGGTTCAATGGTGCAAGATTTGTTAATAAGACAACTTCTTGCGTTACGCTCATAAGTTAGTTATATTGGAATTAAAAACATTTTGTCGATATTAATCAGTAATAACCAAAGACTCTGTCATCCCAAACAATTCTTTTTTTTAAGTAAGTCACTCGTTTTCAGCTACGCATTATCGTAGACATTTGAAAAAAAGATGGTTCAACTACCCACATGTTGTAGATGATATCTCTGAAATTGCTTTTTTATTTATTTTATTTATCGAATTAAAAGTTCCACAAAAAAGTAGTAATAAATTAAGTTCTCTGTTTCTAAAGAGAAGTACATCATTACAATCCCATGCACACACAATAGTACGGATCATAAAAGTACGTTTTCTACATATGCTCCAAACCAATAGGGCATACAAAATTGATAGTAGAGGGCAAATAGCATACAGAATTGTAGCCATAAAGAAAAGATTATCTGATATATATTGGATATATTGATGGTACGAAAAAGCTGTACAACAGATATAGTATAAGTTTATATTTCTTAAGAAGATAATTAAGCTGTAGATAATTAGCTCGGTATTGATAATCGCGATTAATATTAATAATGATAATCAGTAATTTTTAGCTCAAAAATCAGGTTATAGATCACAATGCCGACAACTAATCGTCATTACTTCTAATCGTTATTCAAATATCCTACAGTATAATGTCGTTACTTCTCTGAGATACATAATTAAGAAACTATGTCCAAGCAACTTTAAAACTATCTAGAGGAAATTGATGTCGTTTCTTCAAGATTTTTGGATTTTCATTGAAGTAGCAGCACTCACGTTCCATAGTTGTTGATTGATGATGTCTCTGACAGGATTATGCAACAAAAATAGTTTGACTCTTATATTTCAAAAGTTCTTTCATCCGTCTATTATGAGATTGAAAGAAATAACAAGTGAAAGAAACAATCAGCTATATGCTAAAAGACATCAGACTAATTCTAGGAGACATTAACTGAGATGCAAACAGCATGCTGACGACCTGAAAATGCGACCACACTAAATATTCAGCGTGCTTCAGTATTGTGGGTAAGTGCTTTAGTAAATGAATAAATGAACAAAAATGTAAAGAATGACGATAAGAAGATAATGAATATGAATCCGTAGCGTTATCACCGTCATTTTTATCCTAAGCAGAAGACCAAACAGCAACAGTACACTACTTGAGACAATTACTTGAAATACTAAAAGAAAACTTTTTTCTTCGAAGCAATGATTCACTGAGGAAATAAGGTCTGTTTTGTGATCTGTATAAATCCCAATACAATACTAAATGCAATACTATATGAACGATCTCAAGGCTTGGTGAGTGTTCTAATCTTCTCAGATTGCCGTTTTCTTCAATTGATTGCCTAATCTTTGTACATCACAGTTGACCTTTCATTTTTAATATAGAATATTTAGTACCTTTTCCCGTCACATCTCAAGATACTCAAGCAATGGGTTGTAAGTCAAATAGATAGACAAAATGAAGAAACATTTTGCATTGGAATTCATATTTTCTTGTCATAATTGATGTTGATAGCTGTGTCTAATCATTACGCTAATTTTCGAAAAAATTGGTGAAATATTATAATATTTTTCCAAGAATACAGTCTGTGGTCCATTTAGAAGTAAGTGCTTTGGTCATGTTCATAAAAAGTCAAAATCGTCTTTCTTTTCATTCGATCTTGATATATTCGATGGCCTTGAAAATCATGAGTTAGCCATGAAATAGGATTTGCTATTTGTTTTCAGATAGATTCAGGTAAGATTGAAAGGAAAAATAAAACGTTTTTCTTAAACATAAACACAAAGACTAAATGCACAGCTATTCCGCTTATCCTTCTTTATGAAGTCACACGAAGATGATCAAATTTCAATTTTTCTCATACTGTATAGAATAATTATTGATAGTTCTTCTTTTATGCTGAAAACTCAAAGATTTCTTTATGAAAACTGCAAATTCAACTCAGTAATTGAATATACACAAAATATTATAGTGATTTTATTGTTGTTCAATGTTGATAAAAATCTACGATGTTTACTTTGTCCGTATGTCACTTGTTTTCTTCTTTATATAATGGTGAAAAACGAATTGCTCTATCTCTTTCTTTAATAATGAAATGAAAAAGTTGAAAAAGAGATCGATCACAAAAAAAATTCTACAAAAGGCAGAAACTTTATCTATTTACATATATTAAAATAGATGATCGACAGAAAAAAAGTAAACGGCAAAATTTTTGGATGTACAAAAGTGATTCTTATTATATACAGGGGAAACAAAGTTTATAACAGTAAGCAAAATGTCATTGTTGACGCTCGAATGATAAAAAAAAGTTTCAGTGTTGTTTGATACTGTTCGTCATTGTATGATTAACAACGGGCAAAAGGAAAAAATGAAAGAAAGACAAAGAGTGGACTAGACTACCTTGATTTCAACAGAACAAAATACAATTACGATGGAGCACAATCAAATGAATATGCGCCGGCTTGTAAATTTTCATTATCAGTTTCTGAATCATCATCGGCTGAATCCTCATTGTCGTCTCCATGCTAAATATACATCAACAAAATAGACATAATTAAAAAAAAAAGAAAAGAAATATCATTGCTTACTGCTCGTCTGGCAATCCTTCGAAATATTGGTCGCATTAGACGTAGTAGTGGACCATGTAATTCATTTTCACGGTCACGAGCATTTCTTTTCATCATCTAAATAACAAAACAATGTGCTGCTGCAATCATACTTCGAAAACATCTAAAATTTCCAGCAATTATCCATTTCAAGTTAAAAGACAGCTAGTTCCTTTTAGAATAACTCGAGAACAACAAGTGGTAAAGATTTGCGGTTTTCACCATTAGACAGCCAGGACTTTAAAGCATGTTTTCATAAGTAAAATATTTCCGAAATTATTTTTCAAAAGCCTATGTTTTAAAGGATCTCTGAAATATCATTTCATAATCTGAAAATTCAACATAGCAATATATTAGTTTTTTTTCATGCATAGATAGCCCAAAGTGTCCTCTTCAAAAAGAGAATTAAGCGATCTCTTAGTTTTTCGTAGTTCCGACGTGGTATTGGATTTTCCTGAAGCCCCAGGATCGATATTTCTTTAAATAATGAATGAAAATATAGGTTATCGACCACGATAGATCTTGTGGCAATATTTGCTTAGGAACAAACATGCTTTAAAGTCTTGACTGTGATGGTGAAAGCCGGAAATCTTTACCACTTTTTGTTCTCGAGTTATTCTAAAAACAGCTAGCTGTCTTTTCATTTGAAATGGATAGTGGTATTAATCTTATCGTATTTTGTAAACATTCTTTTGTTATATAATTAGAACCAGAAATCGAAAAAACGAAATGAATATTACCTTATTTAATCCTTTTAAATCATGCATCTCAGCGCGTAAAGGCATCCAAATCTTTATGTCGTGCTCTAAAAACAAATTATTAAATACTAATATTCTATAGAAAAGAAGTCTACAAACAACTTAAATGTTAAATGTTTAACATTTAGGGCAGACTAAGGAAACAAAAGAATAAAAAAGTACATACGTAATCCGCTCGTTGCAAACATAGGAAACAATGGATGTGGTTCAAGGACGTTCACGGTTCCTGCTTCATCTCCCGTATCATACCAAACACATTTCTGACTGTTTTTGTCCCAAATATAAACATTACCTGTAAGATAAGATGCATTGTGCTGTTTTAGTTGAAAAATCAAACGTAGAAACTGCATTACTAACCACAATCGCTTCCACTAATGATATATTCGCTATATCGTCCGTAAAAATTAACTCCCTTTACTAAAATGAAAGAACGATAGAGTAAGTTAAAAAATAATCTTTAAAAATACATACCTGTGCTAGAATTACGATGTCCAGAATATCGTTTAATAGCATCAGCACCGTCAGAATGTGATGAATCAAATAAATAAATATCTTCATCATTATAACTTCCAAGAATCTCTATAAGAACAAAAATAACAAACATTTGACAAAATAACATCATTTGATCAATTAAAACAGAACAAAAACTTACCACTGCCATTATAATTGTATACAGCACATGTTACCGAAGGACGTCTCCTACGATCTTCGACATCTTTCTAAATTGTAAACATTGATGTAGACAAACTTTACATCATTTTCACAATGGTGCCTACCAACGCATCAGGGACAAATTTTTTTAAAGGTAAAGCTGCTTCTGATCTAATTAAACGTCGATCATAAACTCGAATAATTGGATCCATCCCGCATAACAAAAATTCATTCAAATTTGATGGATTAAGACTAATAGAGTACAATGGTAAAGTTCTCATATTTTCATTTGACACAGATAATAATCTAAATAACGGTAAATAATCGTGGAAAAGAAATATATCCAAAATAATATTCATCGTACTTCATAGGTTTATCTTCTCTAATATCGATCTGAAATACATCACTGTCTTCACCACAAGAATAAATGACTTTTCCAGTTATATTTTCTACTGTTAACTAAACAAAAATAGTAATACAAATGAAAAAAGAAGCAATTTATTTCTGTGATTGACAAACCTTGTGTGCCGACGCATGATGTTGAGCAATTTTTTTGGTTTTTCTTAATGTTCCATCAGGAGCTAATTCAGCCAACCTCACTTGACCATCTCTTGCACAACTTACGATAGAACAATCATTTGAAAATGGTAAAAATTTAGCCTAAAAAAATATATGAAACAATTAAGAAAAACAAAATTTATACATATAATAACATAAAATGTCAGATATGTTTACAAAAACCGATACATTGCTAGTCTCTTTCCACGTTCGAATTTATTATATTGGGAATTGAACATTAGAAACTATATCATAAATCTTATTGTGCAATACTTTCTTTAAGAAAAAACATACATACTTGAAAAACGTTTGATGTGTGACCAGAATCGTAAATAACTGCCACCTGAGGAGTGGGCCAATCCCACAATGCTATTTGTAAATCATCACTGGCACTGGCAAAAAAATTCAATCAAGTTTTACACAATATTGATAAAAATAAATCAAATTTTATATTTACCTTGCTAATAGTGTTCCTAAAATGATGAAAGAAAAAGTTTTTAACAGAGACTACTAGATACTGTTTTACCTGTCTGAAAAACTTACCGATTCGATTAAATGATAAGGCATTAACACATCCTTCATGAATTTCAAGTTTATGAGATATTTTCATTTTTCGCACCATATTTAACGAGCCAATATTTACATTATGAAAATAACGACTCGTACGATGATTAAAATATCCAATTGAACGTTCTTTGAGAAGAGGAAGTAATTTTCGTTTATCTTTTGGAAAATTGGTGAATACGTCATTTTGTTCATCATCAGTAGTGTCGGATTCATCAGCACGACAACGTATTTCTTTTTGTATTTCAGATAAATTAGACCATTCTTCATCATCGTCATCATTCTGTTCTCTATCACTTGTATCTTCCTCGTCCTCCTCCTCCTCATCTTCATCATCATCATCATCATCATCATCGTCTTCAATTTCAATATTCATTTTTTCATTGTTATTTTTTTCTGTCGTTTTGGTTTCATCTGTTGATGAGTTTGATGAGTCATTTGTTGTATTCATCCGACGACGTTTTATTTTTGAATTCATTTCTGTCAAATTTTCGATTTTATCATCATTTATAATTGATAAAACATTTTCATTCTGGTTACCATCGTGTGGCTCCGATACACTTTTTTCTTCCTCATCAGGTTCTTCATCTTCTTGTCTTGGACGCAATCTACTTCGTTTTGTACGATGTTGAGTTTTATTATTCACTTTAATGGGAAATTGACGATGGTTATCATCAAGTTCATCTTCGAGTCCATCTTCTGCTTTGTTATCATTCAATTTATGATCTTCATTTAATACACATTCTTCAGTCTTAATATCATTCGTATCTTTATTATTTTCATTATTATCAATAGCATTCATCAGTTCAGACGTGTCTGAATTAGCTTCGGACATGATCTAAATCAAAAAAATGAAAATCTAGTTCAATAACGAATTTATGCTTAACAAGGAAAAAACTGTCGTGTTTTTGAATAGTAATTCGAAGTGATGTACAAAAAACTTATCGTATTTAAAAGTAATAAAAACTGGATAGTGTTTTATGTAAAGATAGTTCTAGTATTGATGAACTATGTAACAAATAAGATGTATAGGATCAGTATTTTTAATGAGAATCTTTTACAGAATTGAACTTCCCACTTTTCTTTGAATATTAAAATGGGTTTTCGTAGTTCGTTTTGTGAAACAAAAAACGGATAAAGTTGGAACAAAATTTTTTTAGGTCTTTTTTGCTGACTCAAAGGTGCAGTTTCCACATTTTCATTTCTATACATGCAATAAGCTCCGTTGGAGTTCACTGATATTCTCGATTTCATTTTGTTGTAGCTGAGGGTATTGAGAGGAGAAAGCCAATGAATGGGTGGAAAATGTATCTAACCCAATTTACTGCGTCTTTCCACTACCAGCTTGCTAAAAGGAAAAATCAGTCTCAGTGTAAAATATACAGATCTAACCAGAGATAATCTTTTTTTCCTTATCCTTCATGTTTATTTTTTTGAACACCAGCGGTCTAACTGTAAACAATCAAATCGATATAACAAGAACAAATTTCATTAATTCTCGCACACATGTATTTCATATAGACCGATGAATTACTTTTTGTTATTTTCTTCTTTTTAAGAACAAGAAAAAAACAGAATGTGATTTTTTTCCCTCACAGTGGGCAGTTGGTGAGAAATTCATTTTTCAAAATGGGAACCCACTTTACTCGCGCTCATCCCACCTATCATGTAAAATAGTGCGAACGAAGCGAATAGTAGAACGAAGTTTTCATCTACTTATTTTTTTCCCTATATAAGTGAAAGTGCGTCGGATACTATCTACTAGTAAAACTAGAGAAGAATTCTTGACCCTTTAATAAAAATTACTTTTTCATGATAACACTTTTAATCCTGGACTGTAACAGCTGATCATCAATCTATTTTTATTTTTTCAAAAAGAATAAACAACCGAGAAGACGTACTGAACTAATCTCACCGCATTGGTTTAAATTAGTCCAATCGAAGCGATTTCTGCTGTGTTGAAGGCTATCTCTACGCAGCGCATCGCAGAATGGTTGACTATATTTTCTCTTGTCGCAAATTGAAATTAAAATCAAGATTATCTTTTTTTGGTTAAAAAACCGTAAGAATTTCTCAGAATAACATAGATTGATCAACCATCTTCGAGCCAGGTACAGGATTGTCTTTTTTGATTAGTGAACTTAACCCTTTACGCCCTGCAACTGATCATACAAATCAAACTTGAAACGTGTATACCTTTATGTAGACTAGATGAAAATTTTTTTGTTATTAGCAATCATTAGTTTATATAGTGTCAACTTACACTGGAAAAAAATTTCATTGAAAAAATTTTGATTTAGAGCTGCATTACTTTTTTATAGTAGTTATGGTGATGTCCTGTGGAAGGGACAATCGGGCGTAAAGGATTAATCAAATAGAGAGTCAAAGGACGAGAAGGATTTGCCTTGTTCATCCGTACAGATATTAAAAGTGAATTTGTGTGATTCGTGATGAAGTAAGGCTGAGTCAAAAGAAAATCTCATAATTCTTTTATTAATTTAGGATCCGACAAACCATGTTTCAACAAAGTTAGTATTATACTGTTCTATTTTCATTTTTATTATCAGAGTCTCGTATTCATTGGATTCGAACATTTTCTACTTAGACTGATGTTTATCTGCCCATGTCGTCTATTTTTCAAAAAAACCGATGGTTAACCACGATTATTTCAGCTGAAACTATAAAAATACAGCATAAAAACCGACGGTTAAACGCCTAGTTAACCAGAAAAAATAGCGGATAACCGACCGTTTTTCCCATTAACTGGGCGCTTAACCGTCGGTTTTTATGCTGTGTTTCTATGGTTTCAGCTGAAATAATTGCGGTTAACCCTCGATTTTTAAAACAACCGTGGCTAACTATTGATTTTCTTGAAAAATAGACGAGATAGTGCAAAGTAAATACTTTGTCCAATACTTGACATTTTTGGTATTTTTACCAGTGGAGAAAAAAGTTTTCCTTCTTACTTTAAGCGAAAATCCTTTTTATAGAGTTAACCACAGATTCAATGAATTAAACTCAAGATTTTGAGTACATATGGAGCTCTTTTTAATATACTAGTATTTGTATTAATACTGCGTATGAAAATTTTATACCGTTCTTAAATGAATGATTTTTCACAAAAATATTATCTAATTTTTTGTGTTTGCTCTAAAAAGAAAAACACTCCTTTCTCCATTTTGATAATGGCTGTTACCCATACGTGATTGCACGTAGAATGACTTGTTTGTGTTTCAAAAAATTCATCTGATATAAGCTTTATTCTGTCAGAATACAAGCGGAAAATATTCCATTATAGTATTCTAAACTAAAACTATCGAAAAACACAAAATCAATTTTGTACGAATAGAGATTCGAACATGTGAACTTAGCTTTGTAGTAAACTACTACAAAACTAAATTCACTATTCTGTATCTATATTCTGTACAACGATTGAAGTTGTGTAATCGACTCGATGTTATCAGTAGTAATTTTTTTTTTGGTATGTTTTTGTGTTTTGTTTGATATAATTCATCTTTTTTTAACAGCAAAACAGCCACAACAGATATCATCTCAGGATCGTTTAATGTCCACGCCATATCGTTATGAAATCAATTGCGGAAAGCCAAACCATGCGGGACAACGAATGCAACAAGCAGCACAAGTAATTTTGAAAAACACCCTAGTCAACCGTATCATAGCATATTTTCTACTTTCCTTCAAGATCGAAGAAATATACAATTCACAACAAAAAGATATAAAACGGTAAAAATTTAATGTGAGCTTAACTTTTTTTCAATGATGAATGCTTCATTCAAGTGCCTCTTATGAACAATTTAAAGCAAATTGGGCAGAAAAAACAGCTTGGTCATCTGTGGCGAATAAGGAAAATGCGATTAACAAACAACGAAAACATGAACTACTACTCCTACGTAAAGCTCACCTGACCGTAAGTACGAAATATATAACCTCGTCTAACATTGGTAAATACATCAGCTTGTTCTATTTACAGGCAAGAAAAGCAGCCCTATCAATGTTACTTGCTGATGAACAACAAACGTATGAAAATGAACTTTGGTACCATGGTAAAGCCATTTACAAAGATATGACCATCATTAATCCAAAATGTCTACCTTCTGATCTTTATCATTAACTGTCTTTCACCATTACAAATGTTAAAATAATTTTATGAATATTTATCTATCATTTTTTGCCTTGTGTAGTATAAAAAGATTTCACAATATATACTTGAAAAAAAAGTAAGAAGAAAATTTGTTTATACAAACTACATTAAATCAAAACATTATATTGATACACAACAATTAATTGGATATAGATTTTATTTTTTGTACTATAATTTCGTTTATCATATAAAAACGTATTTAATTCATTCGTTTGATCAATTCTTGATTGTTTATCAAATTTGCAAAATCACTATACGGTTGATAATTTTCTTTACTATGATTGACACCATACAAAAAGTAGACCATGAGACCTACAACGAGCAAAAGACACTTTGAGACTAATTTTAACGAAAATAGATAAACAATTATACAGTACAACTTACCAATGGAATTCCAAATGACAAAATAGATCCAATTGATTGCTGGGATCCAAATAACAAGAAATAAATTACACCAGATTGCGATCGACGGAAGAATCGGAACCCATGGCACCTGTGTAAAGAAAATTTGATAATAGCGATATAGTTTTCTAACTAGACTGCATACAACATAAGAAAATTGCACGTATCTTTACCTGAAAATTTACTTTTTCCATCGTTTGTGTGTGCAACGCAATTGTTCCAAGTGATATAAATGTCATAGTTGCCAATAATATGAGAAGTGTATAAAACAAAAAAGAATAATAAGATAAAAATGATCGTAGATGAATAATAGTAATTGAAAAACATAACATGCTTCCCGTCATAATGAAAATACATCTTGGAATTGAAAAACCGATACCATGTGAACATGAATAATTCAAACGATGAAAACAACGTTTTATTGTTCCAATTTCTCTCGGCTGTTCCGAAATACAATCTCGTTTAAATTTAGACTCAAATATATTTACATTTTCAAATAATTCTTTATCATTCTCTAATAACTCTTGTGCTATATCAATGTGATGTGTCATTTGTCCGCATGGAACATAACGTATCATAATTATAGAAATATTCACCGTCACATACGACACTAATGTAAGAACATTAACAAACTCAACCAATTGCTTTAATTCTGTAAATAAGACAATGATCGCACTCATAAAACCGCTCAACAATGTTGCTTTAAATGGAACTAAATATGCAAAATGTATTTACGCTGAGATTTCGTAGAACAAATGCTTACTCCCATTTTGTGTAGTTCTTCCAAATGTTTCGAAGAGTAAACCATCATTCGACATGGCAAATATACACCGTGGTAATGTATAGAGACTTGCTAGTAATGGTGATAAAATTGATATTGTTGTACCGATTGCAATACAATTTTTCGCCCACGGATAGCCACGTTCAGCAATTGCTGCGGCAAATGGAGCTTCGGTAGATATTTTGTAGTATGGCACAAGCATTGTTAGAGCTGTCGACGCAAATATGTACAATAAACAAGTGGCAAACATTGCCGATAGAATGCCTACGGGTACATTTCGTTTTGGATTTATAACCTCTTCACTAGCCACTGTAATTGCTTCAAATCCCGTAAATGCGTAAAAACATTGTGCAGCACCCTGCAATACACCCATCATTCCGAATGGATAATATTCGCTTTTCCAAGGGAGTACAGATGTACTACCAATAGTAAACCCAAATACGATAATAAAAAAGATTGTGGCAATATTGATAATGGTAAATACATTATTAACGTAAGCACTTTCTTTAACGCCAATAGATAACAGAATAGTAACAACAATAATTATTATTGCTCCCAATGCATCAGGATGTGGCAAGTTTGTTTTATCTTTTATATGAAATATATGAAAATAAATGTACCTGACTACTTCTTCAATCAGACTATCAAGATTTCCCTGAGCACCATCACCGAGAAGATAATAAATACTGGCACTCCATGCACGAGCGACAGCCGATAGGTTAACAATGTTCTCCAAAATGATACTCCAACCAATGATGAATGCACAGATTTCTCCCATCACAGCATACGTGAACGAATAGCCAGATCCAGTCTTCGGAATTCGGACCTACGATATGTAACTTTTCACTAGTTAACATTGTCAATAGTCATACCTTTCGATTTAACTACCCCAAATTCTGCATAACTAATCGCTGTAAGAAAGGCCACGATACCAGATAATAGAAAAGATAATGTAATACCAGCCCCGGCAGTATCTCGAGCGACCGTACCAACAACAACATAAATACCTGCCATAGGCCAAACAAAAGTGTGCAAATAAAATATTAGAAAGCTGAGAAGAAAGCATACCTGCCCCAATAGTATGCCCAATTCCTAGTAAGAAGATGTCAGTTCCTGTCAACACTCGTTGAAAACCGCTACAAGATTGGTATAATTCACATGTTTTCAATCGCGTTATTCTCTTCCATAATTGATCAAATTGCGACTTCATTCAAAGTTTGAGTTTCCACGTTGCAAGCATCATGACTGAGAAATATTTTATTACTTTGGCGCTTTGCATAAATTTGTGAGCTCTTAGAAAGATCGTGCTATTCTCAAATCCGCTTAGCGTAAAATCTATCTGTTTGATATAACCATCCTCTTCTCCGTTTCTTATATATCGACCTGAGTAAAAATGGTTTCTATTAGCAACTATTCTGAAAATAATCAATAGACAGTGTAAACACAAGAAAAAGCCCTTCTTTTTTGAAAAAAATATCAATTTTGAGTTTAACATAGTCTAACGCAAAGGAAAGTCTGGACTACAAAATGAGACCACTTTCACCATTTTATACGACCTTTTTTGACAAAGTTGTGAATTTTTTAAGTATTTTTTTGAAGACCTTAAATAACTCAAGTTTTTAGTTTCGTAAATTTTCAGTATCTTGAAAAATTTTCCTACCCATAGTCTGGTAGAGTAAAGTGTTCTCGTTCCAATTAGGCGTCTTCCAAAAGTTTCCGATAGTTTTTCGTACAGATATAAGTATGGCCGCAAATGTCCCGAAAAAAGTAACCTGAATAATGTTACTTGTAGTACTCAAACGACACTTGATTTCGAGCGATTCCAAGTCAGTCACATTACGATCCCTCGAAAAAATGGTCCGATCGAGCTTAAATTTTTACCACAGATACTTTAGACTCTATTTCAGATTCGAAATTTTTTTAAGCATTTTAAATCGCAACTTTCGGCATAGGAAGGCTTTTAAAATAAAAAACTGATTTTTACATAGGATTTTCAGTATTTTTCGAATATCTAGAAGGAAAGCAGATTTTTCGAAAAAAAAATTTCATACTTGAGATGGGATCTGCACTATCTATGGTAAACATTTCAGCTCGATCGAGCCAGTTTTTCGAGGAGTCGTAATGTGACTGGATGGAAACGAGAATTTTCTAGAAAACCTATAGGAAAACATGATACAAAATTCTGAGCAAGAACACATCGATTTTCTTTTTCGATGGCAGATCTCTGGTAAACTTTTGAAGCCGATCGGACATTGGCTTCCATGTTTTCCAAGAGAGCCAACAAATAGGAGGGTTGCCCTTAACGATCCGAATGTATGCGCATCTTGTTGTATGTGAGATAAAGAATTTACGGTATAAAATAAGATTCTCACAAGTTTCCTCTTCTGTTTCTAAAATCATTATGAAAATTATTTTGATTTGATCTTTGTCATCAGTATCTATTAATGTGATAAATCTACTGAGGAACAATGTACAGGAAATGTTAACAACGTGGGCGCTGAATAAAATATATACCATGCTTTCTGATAACATTTTGAAACATTTGGCATAAAATCTTTATACACTAAAACCTCTATATGTGGACGGCTCTGTAAAGTGACCACCAGCTTCATTCCTGACCTTTAGGGAAAAGTTTATTTATGAAAGTTTTATAAAAGTCCGAGAACGACTTTTATACTTGAAATGATCCTTCTTCAAGTGGACATTTATATCTTATGTTCACTTTGAAAAGTTCTGAAGGTGTCCATCATAAGAAGATTTCACTGTACATTTATAGATATATTTACCCATAATATTGTCAAATAAGTTAAAAGAACTTAAATTTGCAATTCGTGAACTAGAGAGATTGACATGAAAACAAAGAATACAGATGATCTCTTGTTGATGAACGCTTTGTAACAGTCGGTAAAAATACAGAACAGACTGTTGAAGAGAGTGCAGTAATAGTGATTATTGTGATAAATACAGACCAATCTACTCTATTTATTTAACCAGTAGGATTAAAAAAAGCTTTATTTCGAAAAATTTTTTGAAACCCAGACGAGTGTATCGTATCATCACTGGATCATGCACGAGATCCACAATATATTGTTAGATCATCGTGGCCTAAATAGATGATGAATTATTTCAAATCATGGAACATTCTGCGCGATGGTATGTTATAATATATACATGTGTCTTTGTATAGTCTGTTTCGTTTTCAAAACAGACATTTATTTACAAGAATGAAATTATCGTTCCGCGAAGTTGCGGAGACTAATCTATATGCATTTCGATAGTTTAAACTTTAGAAGATTATGTTCCAATTTATTCCGCGTATATCGTAGAAGAATACCACTTAGATCGACAATTTTTTTGTGCAAACAAGTAAATTAAATGAAGTTCAGCATAATATCATGTCTCTTTTTTTAGGAAGTACCTTTATCATAGTTTATTATCACCGAGTTTGCCTTATTTTTCACTTCAGTTCATCACAAATAGAAAAACAGGAAGAAAAAAATTACAAAGCACAATAGTAATGGGCAAGACAGTAATTGATCCTTACTATTGTGTTTAGTACAAAAATGACTATCACGATTAGAAAAAAAGCGGAAATGCATGAATAAATCATGATATTGGAAGAAGCTATAAGGGAAAAATTAAAACCGTTTCATAAACATGTCAAAAATAATACAAGCATGTTTAAGATGGTTATTTGAGATCATATGAAAGAACCAAGAAAGATAAATTAAACTATAAAAAATGAATTTAGGGGATAGCTCACATCAAGTCTTTGAAATCTTTTGTCGAATCGATTGCTGTTAAAACTTCTGTTATCAATTTTCCATTATTATCACGAATGGATTTTAAGCGCTCTAACTCTTGTAGCAACTGTGAATGCTGTTGTTCCAATTGTTGAGTTCGCAAACGATTAAAAACTTCTAATTCTTCACGTTCTTCAGCTATATAGAAAAACCAAATCAAACTATAGCTGTGATGCGAAAACTCATTCGACGACAAAATATAGTTTCAATAAAATGCTTCAATTACCTATAAAGACATTTTCAGTTGTCGCTGGTTCATCTTGCAGTTCTGATATTCTATCATAAATTAAACCATCAACACGTAACTCTACAAGAGTCCTAATCACTTCTTTTGACGATGCTTCATCACCCCAGACGAAGAGCAATTTCCCATTCTCTTTAACACGTTTAACAAAAGCACTATCATTTAAAATGTCAACAGCCTGGAACAGAGGTAAAATCAAATTTACTCAAAAAACAAACGAAGACATTACTGGACCTACCGGTGCAGCTAAACCAGACAAATGTTCAGCCACCACAAAAAATAATCCGATGTCCACAGTCCATGTTCTCATATCCAGGAATTGCGGATAGGTAAGAATTTCACCTTGTGTTAGGAATAGGACCGGAAATAAATTTTGTTTCAACCGTAGCATAGACGCACAATCAGGATCAAAGGTACTAATGACAATAACACGTTTTCCTGCGTAAGCCATCAAACAATGTAGTATACAGTCGATATAATCATTTCTTTCAAAATAATGTGCTTGTTCACTACCACCTTGTCTATATTCCATAGCATATTTAACTTCAACATTAAATCCTAAATGTGGATCTAATTGTTCGAATAATTCTTGTAATGTTGGAAATAAGGAACGAAACTTTTTTGCCGACTGTTGTGGTAGATGTTGTTGATCAGTTTGCGCAGTACTTTTGTCTTTTATATGATCAATTGACGGTGACGTTGATGATGATGATGGTAGGTTCGTGATCGACGGTGTATTTTGATCATCATCATCTAAGTCATCTTCTAGTTTCAGTGCATCACGTTTTGATGCATGGTAAATTTTTAATGACTGCAATTGTGGTAAACTCAAATCTTTCACACCAACAAGAAATAATTCAGCTTGTGGCTCTTTCCGTTTTAATGTTATAGCGACTTGAAAATCATGGTAAACAACTGGAATTTTATCTTTTGATAATTGTACATCAAATTCAACAAAATCTGCACCCGCTTCGAAAGCAGCCTTGAATGATGCTAACTGGAAACAGACAAAGAAAAAAACATCTTAGAAGAATCCAGTGTCAATTCAATTATCTGTTTATACCGTATTTTCGCTGATGAAACGTGATTGAACCGGTCTCGCTAATGGAATTGGTGGTGTTAAACTCTAAAAAAACGAATTATCTCTTAAAAGTACACGTAAGTATTTCTAAATGTAGTTATTGTAAAGAGTAAATCTAAGTACTTACTAATCTTGCAGATGAGTCGTGATCGTAACCGTTGGTGTTATTTTCATTTCCCACACTACTTTTAGTTTTGCTGTTTTCTTGTTGTTGATGTGGTTTCGATGGGATATGTTCAGCATTCGTTTTACCTTTGATTAAAAAGTTATTGCAGTTCGAGAATATATGTAACATGATCCAAAAACCCACCTAAACCTCGATGCCCAACATTAACAACTCTTCTGCCTTGCCTCCAGTATTTTGACGATGAAACAAAAAATTTTTGTACAATATCCTTCAGTGGTGTAATAAGTTGGACATCAATCTTTACTTGTCCAATTCTAAAATAAACAAAAACAACAAAGTAGTAATTATTGTTCTGAATAAGAAAAAATATAATTTACTCTTACGGATTATGTTTGAGGCCAATAATCGGTACAATTCTGGTCAAATGTTTATTATCACCTAATTCTTGATTTGAATGTACGGGCAAAACATAGGCAAAGCCAACATGTTTCCGAATATGTGCATTATCATCAACCAAATAAAAATCAATATGATAAGCAACATTTTCTGGTTCAAACGTTTGAATTTTAATTATCAAATAGTCATCTTTTTCAATAATTGCTCCATAGTCACTTTGAAAACTTGTCTCGCAGCAATTTTTTCTCAAAACAGCTGACTGAATAAATATTTTGGATATTGGTGAATACTGTTGTACGGGTGAATCGGTTGATACTTCTTCACTGTCTTGTTGATACGATAAATCTAAAAAAAAGTGGAACAAATTTATTAAACAGTGAAAAGAACAAAATCTGAACTGATCTCACCGATGGGAGACACTTTTAAACTAAATTTGTTATTACGCAGCTTTGCGCTCCAAATCTGTAATGAATTACTAAGAAAACGTAGTTGAATCTAATAAAGAAAAAATATACGACACCGTACAGCACAAGATCTTTCTCAAAATCGATGAATGACACTTACTTCTGTTTGACCGGTTAACCAACCAATATCGATTCGACATATTCCTTTGTATGTTCCGAATATTGCTGGAAATTCATCTGCATTATCCACAGTTTGTGTTGTACCTGATGCTATTGTTGTTATATCATTATTATTATCTATTTTCGGCCATTTATCACATTCGATCACCCTCGGCTCTTTGAATGTTTCCCACTTTTTAATGATTAGATTCATGTCATCATCACATGGTACTATTTGAGCAATCAAATAACGATAATATATTTTTGTATGCCCGGTTCTACTAATTTTAACTTTTGTTGACCAGATTTCTTCCGTAGCTGATGATGATTCCCGATTAAGAGGTAAGCATTTTTGAGGTATCCATTCGCCTAATTCTTGACATGAACCCGTTAAAAGTACACTGTCAACAGCATTTAATTTTTCCTTAACTATTACACGAAATTCAATATCATAAACCACTCGACGAATCATCTTATAATAACGGTGAGATTATGTAATAAAACAAAATATCAGTCGATAATTCATATATATTTTATTTCAGTTTCTATTGTTGTTACGTTCTACATGGGAGAAAACAAGAAGAAAAACATCTGGTCTCTAATAATGGCTTACACTAACACATACTGAAATGTGTTTGTGAATCCTCTCCTCAGCTTGAGGATTCTTTTAACGTTAAGCTTGCACCTTCGATAGATCAGAACACGCCAACGATAGATTAGAAATTGATATAAGACGTTGCTGACAAGTTAAATGCTACTTATCTTATTTTAATCAGACCATAAAATCAAATCATCTAAAAAAATCAGAAAAAATTAAAGCTTGTTATTGTTTTCTAATCTCAATTGATCCAGGATAATATCTGATTCCATTTTTGCCATTTTTCTTGAAATCCATTAACACGTGCAGCACACGCACTGAGCTTCATGCTTGACTCTATAAGGTTTCGAATTACACCAATAAAAAACGATAAGGAAACCTCCAAACGCGATCAGATAAAGTAGAATTATTAAGTATTCAACTTCAAGTGTTCAACGACTGTTTTCTTCAACAGTAAGAATATTCGCCTTTGAATGCATAGAATTTTGTTGCTACTTTTGAGTCATCTAGACTCTATTGACACCTATACACCATAAAATTAGTAGCATATACTATGTTTTTTTTATTCAAGCTTTTATAGTGAAATAACTTCGTTATGTTTTGAAGTACCAGAACACACCAAAGTTATTTGCTCCGTAAGTTAGAAAATAGCAGTTTTTAAGATCAGATAAACTTCTTCAGACTATTGAGGAGACAGAAATATCGTTTATTTTTAACCTGTTATTTCGAAAACTGATTTTTCGATGACCGAGGAAGTGGAAATTTTGGTATAAATCTTTTTTAACAGGACTTGACTATAAGACTTCTAGATCAGAGTCCAACAACCTCACCCACTTTCTTAAAGTATCTAACACTCGAATTCTATAATTTTGTTTGAACTAGTGTTGCTTGATTGTTAACTTCTTTATTGACTGTATTATATAAAATCTGTTCCACTGTACACAGATCTAAACAGAATTATGTTTGAAATCATGAAAAAAAAATACTGATTAGATAAGTATAATGAAGAAAAGTTGACAAAATCTCACAGAATGTTATGCATTATTCTCTTCCATTGTAAAATACGAACAGCAGTTGTGATGATTCATTTATTTAACTTTTTTTAACTGATAACAATGAACTGAGAGCCTAATACACAATGCTTCTTTTATCTATTATTATAAGCACACACATTAACAGTTACCTTTCTTCTGCCCTTTTTTTACACTTAAATAAGTTTTAATCTATTTTGTTTCTATTTTTACATCAATCATCGTATATATCGTAGTATCAGTAATAAAATGAAAGACATTAGTCTACTTCGGAACTAAAACTAGACATATTTTTATAAACATTTTTTAATCGTTCTCTTCTTGTGTGTTTATTATATATTCCGCATAATTTCATTCATAAAAAATGGCAATGAGACCATTTGTGGACGCATCATTTAATAATTGTCGTTACTCAAAGATTATCGTGCAAGAATTATCCGATAATACTCAAACAAACGATTTTCAAAGGTATAAAATACGTTAAGTCTGGATGTATACATATTTTAAGAGATTTCTTGATATATTTTATAGATTTTTCTTGGCATTATCTCATCATAAACATTTTTATTATAAACATTATAAATTAGAATATCGTTATCTCAATAAAATTGATCAATCATCTTCTCCAACAATAAATGATATTCAACCATATAGACGTCCAATAGCATTTATTTTATTCGCTGTTTGTAATTCGATACAAGAATTAACCATAATTCTGGAACAATATGATAAAATTACACAACAATATTCACAAAGTGTGGCATACATTCATCTGTTTATTAAATACAAATCAAATATTCATCTTGAAAATGGAATTACTTTGGAAAAGTAAGAATATAATGGACAAATAAGTCTATGGTACCAAATGAGTATTTATCCTATTTTATAGCGCCAGGTTTCGTACATCTATTTCAAGTCTGAGTTCAAGATATGCTTTAAGACAACATTTGTCAGATGAATTACAATTATCTGGTGAAAAATTACTTCATTCTTCATCGGTTGACGACGATAGTTTATCGGATAATATTTCATTATCTAGTAATAGTTTAGATGTATTTCGAGCGATAGCTGATGATGAAATATCTCTTACGGGTAATGTGACTTCTGATAGTTTGACTTCCAGTGGAACGAGAATAAGTTTAATTGAATCGTTCGATGATGAAATTCGAACATTAAACCAACTTTCATCCAGAAAACAGAATCAATATCAAGATTCGACAAATTCTATGAACACAGATCCTCTATTAGACGAAATGAAATCGTTAATAATATCTCAAAAAATTACGAATGTTAGTTTTTTGACTAATACTGGTGAATATTTAAATGATAAAATGTTAAGAAGTGAATTGGAAGAATTTGATAAAAGACTACTTCAATGGTTACTCGAACAATTAACAAAAATAAATTCAACATTACTCAGAGAAGCTGAAAAAAGTCAAATGAAGACAAACAGGTATTACACTGAGACAATTGAATATAATCGAAACTAATCGATACTTATTGCCTCTTTTGCTCTAGTCTATCGAAAAAAAATCTTGAAGCACGTTATTTTAAACGAAAAGGCGATTATTATGTTCAATTTGGAAACTATGAAAAGGGATATTATGAATTTAAACAAGCTATAGAAGCTCTTAAATCTTTGAATGATCCAATTTGGTTTGCAGGTAAAGTTTTTGAAAAATAGTTATGATATTATGAGACTTAAAATGCTTATTACGGTTGTTTTAGCTGCAATTGAAGGACTTATTGCATGTAGTTACTTAATGACACGAACAACTAAAAATAAACGACATACCATCCAGTTGAGTAGACAACCATCTTTAACCCAACGTATGTATAGAATTTCATTAATATATGAAATGAGACAGAATATGAACAATCGTTCATTTGTTTCAGGTCTATCGTCACAATTAGCAAAGTTCAAATCGCCCATGGAATTATCAAAAAAATTACAAGTAGCAATTAACGGTTATCATTCGGTATTATATATTGCAAACTATTGAGTAAATTGATTGTCTCTATTTTCTGTGTTCAGTCTGTTAATGGTTTCTATCTTGAAATTGATTTATATATAAAATGGTGTAAAATATTAATAGAGTATAATTATGTAAGTTCGATGAACAAAATGTTAGACATACATCCATCCACTTTTCTTACTTTAAGGAACGAAATGAGGCGATGCAATTCATAGCACAGATAAGCGTATTAGCAGCTCAACTAAACAATATGGAGTGTGTAAGTGTTCTAATATACTTATCTTTATCTTCCGTAAATTATTAATTTATTTTTAGGTTTATTGCAATGCATTAATTGCAAATTTGTACGATAGTCTTGGTTTACGAAGAAAAAGTGCATTGTACAATCGAGTAGCCACTTTACTTGCATTAAAATTCATCACTGCTAACAATTTTCATCATGAATTACCATATATTAAAGAATTAATTAAAAAATCAAGTACATATTATGGAATACAAGGTAAATAATAATGTAGTTAATCATTTCATAAAAATTTAATTTTACTATTCTTGTTTCAGAGAAATTTGTCACATTTCCATTAATTCAAAAAACTGTGGTTAATGAATCGATAATGGTGAGCGCAAGATTAAATGATTATCCAACAATTGTTGAGTAAGTAGAAAATATTAATGAGTGAAACATTTTTTTTCTTTTTCTAAAACAAGGATATATGTTTTAGAAATGTTTATTTTGCTCTCGAATATTTAATCGATTATATGAGTGATAATGAACTCAATAATTTACTCTACTATATGAGTAGAGATCAAACGTCTAAGTTACAGGATGATTATATATCTTGTGCATATTGTAATATACCAAAACTATGGTGAGTTTAAATTGTAATAAAAAAAACGTAATAAATTTATTTTCATCATTATATTGTTTTAGCTCCTTAAAACCGCTAGCAATGCTTGAAAAATTGAAACCATTCAAATTTGAAACACAAGTATTCATTTATCATTACATTAATAATCAAAAACAACGTCGTGAGCGTAAAGTAGGTACGATTTAAAATATGAGAGAAAAGTTGATGGATAGAGGGGTAAATATCATTTTTTTTGTCAAATAACTAAGTATTTATTGATATTAAAATCAAGATGAAACATCTTCAAAACATAAATACAAAAACTATTTTGAAATTTAGATTTCTTATGGGTAAAAGATGAATATGTTTTTGTGGAACTCATTGTTGAAAATTATTTGCCTATCAACACAACATTACATAATTTAAAATTTTTAACTGATAATGAAAATCAACTCTTAACAGATATTGATACAAAATATGAGATACCATCTCGAACAACAAAAAAACTAACAATTCGATGTATTCCAAATGAACGTGGTTTACTTAACATAAATGGTGAACTTGTTGTAATGGGGAGTGAGAATATAGTTAAAAATAAGATTTTTCTCCTTATAGGTCTAACGTATCATGTCCTATCAACCCAACAAGAATTTCGTTTTATCGATTATCCGACGCTTCATCCGTGTTTATGTTCGATTGATGTTGTTGATCCATTACCAATACTGACTATCGAGGGTATACAGCTAAATGAGAATAAAATTCATATTAATAATAACAATACAATCAATACAAAGCCAGTCTGGTGTACAAAAATTAATGAAGGACAAAAGTAAGAGAAAATTTTTTGATATTGTCTGATATATTTTCTCTTTGCTTTAGTTTATTTATTAAAATTAATATATCTTCCAAAAGTGACATTGAATATTTAGAAGTATCAACATTTGCTTTCGGTTCAAATATAACAGGTTTTTAAGCAATTTTGTACTTTATTTGTTTTGCACTAATTATCCAAGTTAAATTTTTTTAGATGATAGTTCAATTATTATTCCAAAATTACCAATTTTAGCTGGACAAACTGATTCAATTGAAATTCATCTATCAGATGGAATTCAACGGAGTCGCTCTAAATATTTTACTGAACAAGAATCATCAGTCAGGGTATAGAAGTTAAGATACAATTGCTCACAAAGTTATTCATCCACCTTAGATTTCGACTTTTCTTGCCGATCATAATAGCTGAAACAAATCTAAGAAATGATTTGAATAGATGGAAGAGTTTTCAATCTGATGTGGCGCATATAAAGATTTCATCAGAATTTTTTGTAACTTGGATCTCTGAAAAACTTAAATCTTAGAAAACCAAGTTCCCCCTCATTCGACTGAGAAATTTTTTGCAAATAACTTCATCTTATAAAGCAAACGTCTCTAAGTTCTTCAGAACATTTTTTCATGCAACTACATCCAATTAACAAAAAGATCTTAAACCATCGAAACAAGCAAAATCAAGAGGGAAATACGAAGACGTTTTGTTAATTGAATGCAGTTGCATGAAAAAAAT